AGAATCGAAGCTAACCCGATGTCAAGGTTGCATAGAAGGCATAAAGATTGAAAACCGATGTATAATTGAAACAAGTATAGAGAAAATACATATAGTCCCCTATCTCAATACAAGAAAGTCCACCAGAAAATCCCAATCACTGGAAATTCCAATTTTAAAAGAAGCATTGGAAGGTATGATAGGTAGAACGCTATACAATAACTAAGTAACTATCCAGAATGAAAGAGTAGTAGATGTGAAAATAGAGGATTGGGAAACAAATATCATCAAAGATCATATTGAAGAAGGTACCTACCAATCCCATTTGATTGAAATACTCAATCGCAATAAGCAGAGAGATAAACCAATAACATTCTACTCTGATGGGTCCATCATTAATCACAGAAGTATAAATATGAGAATGGGAGTAGCATAGATACAGATAGGAGAAGCAGGAAGAAAAAGCAAGTTTCAAACTGGAGTAGAGGATTGGTCCTCATCCACTAAAGCAGAACTAGTAGCGATAGTTATTATACTACTAGTAACTCCAGTAGATAGCAAAATCGAAATCTTTACAGACAGTCAGGCCTACATCTCGAAGTGGGAAATGATAAAAAAGGAGGATCCCAAAATGACCCACAAAAGATGGTTAAAAGAACAAAACTGGTCCCTATGGGCATGTATGCTGGATCTGTAAAGAAAAAAAAGCTGGATCTCAAGCTTACCAAGGTCAAGGCACACTCCAATATTCAATATAACGAAGAGGCAGATGCTTTAGCCAAAGAAGCACTAAGATTCCCAGTGATAAAATGGAAAAAATTGGTCTCACTCAAAATAATCACAGAAATTAAATGGCAAAATATAGTGCTAGATACTTTAATAAAACAAACTATTAAAAAAATTAATAACAAAGTAACAGCCTACCAATGGATTACACAAGGTAGAATTGAAAGAAAATAAGACCAACAAATTTAAGACTATCACAGATACATATGGAACCTTGTATAGGAACACTTTAATAAGGAACGCACATGGAACACCTCACTTAAAAGCTCACGAAACAAAAGCTTTCTCATTAAACTAATCAATGATGAGCTACCAACACTTACAAAGCTGGCCATAAGAAAACCAGATTTTTACAAGCAAGTGAAATGCATTATGTATGGCCAGGAAGAGAAAATAACAGAACACTTGCTAGAATGTGCAACTTACAAGACTTAGTGGAATAAGGCATGGCAGAAAGGAATAGAAGGAGTCTTGAAAGAATTCAGAAAGCTCCTAAAAGAAAGAAAAATAGAATCAGAAGAGAAAGAGCTAAGCTTGAGAATAGACGATAGGATAGAAATAGAAGAAATCGACAAACAGACTACAAAACTGGTAGAAAGAAGCTCAAAAACCAGTTAGGACACACTTAGCTTCTGTATGGGACTAATAGAGGAAGAATTAGTTATCAATATAGCAGATTTGATATGTCATGGCAAGATAATTGAAAAATGAGCTAGAAAATGAATAATAAAGATACAAGAAAAAGTACGTAATCACTTCTAAAAGAAAATATGAAATGCAAGATGTGAAAAGATGATTGAATGGGAACAGAAGTTAGGAATCCGCAAATATGACAAGAAAACAAGACCGTTACATCCACGTGATCAAAAAAAAGATGGATAAAATCACTGAAAGTTGATCCAGCGAGAAACTGATATATGAAGAAAAAAGAGTCGAAGACAAGAAATTGGAAGAAATCCTATTAAATGGAGTGAAGTATAGTATGAAGTGGTTGGGGTTTTGATCTTTGTCAGAGCTCAAAAGAGTGATCTGCAGTGGTGACCTGTGGACAATGATGTTAGAAGTTGGAAGGGTCTTTATCTGAACCTTTAATGGGGCGATAAATCACTTCCGAAGTTGCACTTAGAGAGATAATACAACCAAAACGAGTGAGTTAGTTAGAGATTTAGCTTTAATGCTTCATTTAATATGTATAGCTTACAAATGTTTAATAAAACATACTTAACTAACCTGACAGAGGGTTAAAAAAAAAATAGTTCTATACTTGAAAAGAAGATATTTGAGAATATATACTTTAAAAATAATATATTTTTGAAAAAAATTATTAAAAAATAGATAATATAGAAAAAAACAACTAAATTTTTATTTCAGTTAATAAAACTTTGAAAAATTTATAGTAATGATAGTAAATATAGAATCTCATAATTAAAGAATAATTCAAATTATAAAGAAGGCAAAATATTATTCTTTAAAATACATTTAAAGATTATAAACTTTAATAATAAATGAGCTAATATGTAAAAGTTATTTAAATTATAATTATTTCTTTAAATACAATAAAAAAATAAGTCATTAGTCTAATGGCAGATTAAAAATAAAATTAATAAAAAATTTTATTAAAATTATTTAATTAAATATATTGAAAAATATTATATTAAAACTAGATTTTTGCAAATTTAAAATATTTGATTAAATTAATTTTTATCATAAAATAAATACAATAATATAATTTAAATATGATAAAAAATAAAATATTTATTGTAATAAAAAATATATTTTCCGTCCATAAAAATATGTATAAATTTCCGATAAAATTTGTAATATATTTTTTAAAATAGTTTTTTTAAACTTTAAAATAGAATTATATAATAAATTTATTAATAAATCATCAAATAATTTTTTGGATTCTAAAAAACATATTTTAAAAAAATTTTAAATTTTTTATTAAATTATAAATAATTAAAATTTCCAAAGTGAATGTCCCTTACTGCATTTAAAGAATCAACATTTGTTGTAGTGCGTTATTGAGGAGTCGAAAGCTTGTAGAGCTTTTGCTTGTTGGTAATTTCTATCTATTTTTCTCAAAATTTTCGGATGAGTTCTTATTACATTATTATTCCTCTTTCTTATATGAAAATAAAATGCATTGAAAAACTATCGTAAAATAGAATAAGGATATAATGCCTTTTCGGTTAATTTCATAAAAATAAAAAATCATACGTCAATAATTCCTCTCTTCACATAATAACTCAATGTCTCTATTACTTTATCATCTAGTAAATACCCAACCCCAAAACTCAACGGTTTTATCCTCAACATCTTATCACAATAATCTAAAAAAATAGGATATTGAATCCTTCGTATACTTCCACGAGAGTTCATTCAGATTGAGAGTTCGCAATCCATAAGGAACGATGGGGCCGAGAATGTAGAGTATTTCACTAATATCCAAGGTTTCGCGCATGAAGCTATCTAAGGAAACACTTGTAAGCCTTGGACAAGAAGTGAACAATTGTTGGATTTGTGCGATCGAATCGTTCGTAACAATTAAACTAACTTTTCTAAGGTTTGGACAATCGGTGATGGTGGCAAAGAGTACCGGGTAATTTTCCGGATCATAAGCATTAAAAATCCTCAACGTAATTTCTTCAAGATTTCGGTTGGCGTTTTGAATCAAAGAAATGTATTGCTGAATAAATTGACCATTGAAAAGATCTATTTCCAGTTTACAAAGTTTCTTCAGATCTGGTCCCGCAATATAAGTTGCGTTCGAATTCAGAGGGGGTCGATAAAATAACTGAGCTTTTCTCAACAGGTAATAGTTTAATCGAGATAAATATGACTTTAAAATATAATTCTGAGGTTGAGGTTGAATATAAGAAATAACCTTATCACGAGCAGCAAGACTCGCAAGAGTTTTGTATAGTTTAATATGAAAGTATAGAAAGGACACATCCGATAATGCAGGAACAAAGTTTTTAGGGAATATGGGTATCGATATTTGGGGCATTTGTTGTATTTGAGTTATTTGTTGTATTTGTGTCATTAGTTGCATTTGAGCTCTTTGTTGTAATTGAGTCATTCGTTGTGCTCGAGTCATTTGTCGTATTTGAGACATGTGTATTTGAATTATTTGTATCATACATTGTACTTGAACGTCTTGTTGCAGTAAAGCCATTTGCTGTGTTCGAACTATGTCTTGAGCGGTAAGAATTGGAATCTGTTTTTGTTGTAGGCATAATTCTTGTACTCTTGGAATGCGCGTGGCGTGAACTTGTGTTAAATTCTCTTTTAGAAGTGATTTTATACTTTTTCTTGCATCTTCGTTATCTATTTTCTTGCTTTTTTTCCAATTATCTTGCCATGACATATCAAATCCGCAATTTTGCTAACTAGTTTTTTCTCTATTAATCCCATATAGAAGCTAAGTGTGTCCTGACTGGTTTCTGAGATTATTTCTACCAGTTTTGCTATTTGTTTGTCGATCTCTCCTATTTCTATCCTATCATCTATTCTCAATCTTAACTCTTTCTCTTCTGATTCAATTTTTTTTCTTTT